TCACCGGGCCCCGCCGCTCGGGCCGGCGCGCCGCCTCGCCATGTCCGAGCCTGCTCCGGCGCCGACGTCTTCTGTTTGGGTGAGCGGGAGCTGTCCAGAAGGGCTCTGCCGCTCGCCGGGGCAGCCAACCTACCCTCCCGGACCCGGGGCGGGGAAGCGCCCAATGGGCGCCGCGAGCAGCCACTCAGAAGCCGCGGCTGCCCCGGGGGGCGGGCCTCCTGTGCGCGACTGCCAGTGGCTGAGGAGGGGGCGGGGCCGCGCGTTTCATGTTTGGCTGACGGCTCTGTACCTTTTTTTTCCTCCTTTGCCACTGGAATCAAACGTCAAGAAGAGGGAGGGAGGGAGGAGAAGGGGGGAGTAGTAGGGAGAGAAGCGAGAGTGCAAGCCAGGGAGAGAAATTATGTTAAAGATGCCGAGCTGTGTCCCTCCCGAGCAGCTGCGATCTGGGGGAAAGGGCATTGCTTCAGTTCCCTGCGCCTCACCCCAAAGCTTTTCTCCAGGCTAGTAAGCCGGCAGAAGACTCCACTACGTGCTGGTGTAAAAACAAACACACGTCTCCAGCAAGCCACTTCCCAAGTGTCTCTAGCTGAGGCCAGTAGTTTAGCCTTTTAAAATGTAGGCGCTAATATATTCTAACGCAGGGTAAATTCCCGAGACTGGGGCATGCATAATCTACCGAGTGAAAGGAACTCCAGCGCCCTCGCCACCTGCGAGCTGCGGCCGGCGGACACAAGCCCACAGGCGGCGCGGGCCGCCGTAATGCATGCAAAGTTAACACAATAACATCATTTAATTAGCCGGCGAGCCCATAAATCTTACAGTTATGAGCCTTTCGAAGGGCCCTTCTAGATTGCGAAACAAAACTAGAACTCCAAGAGCTGCGATTTCAAGGTGACTAAATGCTTGCCCCATTAGTGACTTGGAAAGCAGTGTATGTGTGTGTGTGTGTGTGGGGGGGATGCGGTAGGATTGTTGCCGATGCCTATAGTAAGCAAACTTCTCCTGGGGGCAGGGAGTAGGTAAACATTGCGGGACGACACCCACCGATCTTTCCCTTAATACACACACACACACACACACTCTCACACACACACACACACGCTTTTCTCGAATCCCTGGAGAGGAACGACCCGGATTACGGCTGTGGGTAGATGACACGGAGCCTTGGCCGACATCTGTATATTCAAACCTTGTTTCCGAAAAGACCAGAGCTCCGGCGAGTTCTAGAACGCTCGCAAGCTACAGCTTTAAAAAATGCACCTCCGTCTACCCAGAATTTCCGTTTTTTGGTAACCCTGGGTCGGTGACTGAGAGTGGAGCAGGGTAGAGAGGAGGTGGAGGTTTCCGTAGCCCAGGTCGGGGTGGAGGGGTGGTTGAAGACAGAGAGCCACCCGGCATTGAAAGCCTTAAAAGTAACAGCTTCTTCCAAAGCAGGTTGCGCTCGGTTCGCCTCCGAAGATTCAAGCTAGCTGAGGTTGCGCAGATGTTGCCTTTGTTTAAAGAGACAGTAATTAAGGACAGGGTGGACATAAGTTTGAGAAGCGTGACCTATTTTCTTTTGATCAGCTGTCAAAAGAAGAGCAGGGGGTCTCCTTAAGACAGCCCCCTCCAACCACTTCCAGCTGTTAGAGAAAACTTGATAAGAAAACAAGGACACAGCCTGGAATACTGTATGTGCCTTCCTGGCACTACAGAAAGGTTTAATTCATTTGGAAAACAGTTCTTAGTCTCGGTGACCTTTTACGGCTGCCCTCCTCTCTCTCCTAGCTGCAGAGCAAAAAGATCCACCCCCCACCCACACCATCCTGTCACATGAACGTACAGTGACGTTATTCATAGATCAACTTTATTGAGCTCCGGCCAATACCCCGCCAATTACTCTTTCAAATAGCTTCTTCTCTGTGATGTCAAAGCCCGGGTAGGAAAGTGGACGATCCTCTGCTTTGCTAGACATACTTTTCTAGCAGCTCACATCTTTAATGTCACAACACTAGGCAGGTAAAATAACTCAGTTTTCTGTTTCTCTGCCTTTCCTCTCCCCCACCCCCTCTCCTACTGTCTCTCTTCTCACTCTCCACCTTATATATGGCGGCTGGACACTTGGGATAATTTGAAACAGTTAATGTTTGAAATACATACCAAGTTGAACAAAAGTTCACAAGAGTGCAACCTCCTGTTGGTCCAGGAGTGCTCAGGAACTGAAATAGGGTAGGAGAGGAGCAAGGCTGGGGAAGGAGTCCTGTCTGATGTGCCCCAGTGCTGAACGCAGCCTCCTTTGCCCTGGCTTTGGGCTCAAGGAGGTGGCCAGTGACCCCAGGCTGGGACATCAGGTAGGAACTGCCTCCATACAGAAACTTAAGTATGTAAATTACCATTTAAATAATTTTTCAAAATAATAAACTCATTTACCAGGCTGCTAAGATAAATCTGCTCCTGGGAATTGCATTTCAGTGTGCCTGGGAGCAGTCACGTGCTGGGGAGTTGAAAGGTGAGTTGCATATTCTCGGCTGCCTCGCTCCCTCCCTCCCTCCCTCCCTCCTCCCTCTCTCCCACCATCCCTCTCCCTTCCCTCGATCAATATTGGCGATCTCAGGGAAATCATGAAATCGTATTGGCTTCTTTGTGTATAATTTCATTGGGCTAGATTAAAGCAGATTTTTCACGTTGTTTTTCTAATAGTGGTTTGAGGTTTTGTATTTCAACCCAAAACCCATTTAAAAGGAAAATTAATGTGCATATTTAGTCAGCATCCTGATTTTTACTGAATTAGGCTTGCATGCCCTTTCTTTTTCTTTCTAAAAAGGAAAAATATTTGTTTTCTACTTGAAGACAATTTTAAGAATATCAGTACTAATAAGATTTTCAAACATGTTTAGAAATATCTTTGATGTTTCTTTCTCTATAGTTCTTTTAGAAAATAAGAAGGAAGAGTAGCTTTCTAAAAGGTTAGCACATACTCTAACCTTCAGAAGTTCTGCAACTCAGAATTTTTTCTTTTAATTTGAAGTTACAGGCCTGTTTCCCCCTCTGCTCAATATTTGATTCACAAATAGACTGTATAGAAATGTGGTAGCAGGAGTGCTAGTTCATGACGATTAGAATCTGGACAAACAGTTGCCCCAGCCATTTTATCTGAAGCAAGATATCCATTTCTTAGCATACCACATTCACAGGTCCGGTTTCCCTCAAGATCAGACACTTAAATTAGTTAAAAGAAGCCTGTAAATAAAATGCAACTTTGACAACAAATGTAAGCTATTGCACTGTAAAAGAAAAAAAATCTGAACTTGAATTAGCAATTGCAGGAAAAGACTGGAAATTTTTACTGTCAGAGCTTTTCATATATGTATTCACATTAAATTTTTTTTTAGGCTCTGAGAAGAAGAGAGAGGTGAATGTTCAATTAAAACAGAGAACCTATAAATTATTCACGAAAAAAAATAAACAGACCACAAGTAAACCCAATCCGTATAAGGGGCCCAACAGCTTTGCTTTTACTACACAACAGTAACCACAGCACAAATCCTGGGAAGAGGGGGGCTGTTTATTTCCACCCAAATGTTCAAAATCCTGAAGAAGGTTTTGTGTTGGGCTGAACACATTTGTGCTACAACTAGATTTATCAGAGCAATACAAAAAGACATAATGGTGGGTTGATTTGGACTATTTTATTTTTGTCCTTCCCCAAACCATCTGGCGTGTGAGTGTAGGGGTATTGATCAGGATCTGTGAGCTGCAGACCCCATGCCAATCCATAGCGTTTCTGGCAATCAGCGTCGTCCATGAATTGCAGCTGTCTGTGCAGCTCCCGAACAGAAATCTTCAAAAAAGTCCCCTCCTTATCAAACACATCATCCGTTCAGGGGTAAGTCAATATCATTTCTTTGTCATTCCGTGAGCGAGGATTATGCAGGAGAAAGTTTTTGTTGTCTGTTGTAGCTGCTGCTGCGCCTGCTCCCCCCTTTTTTTTTAAAGGAAGGAGAGCAATTTTCTAGCCATTGAGTGGTAATGGTTTTCCAGAAAGGCCTCAAGCGTTTGTATGAATCGGACAACAAATGCTCTTTCAATATTGTGGGGGAATTTTAAGAGGAGGGGGACATTCTTATGTTGCTATACACAAATAATAATAGTGATAATAGAAGGTTCCTTTTAACAACGGAGAATTTTCTCCCCTTTTCTCGGAGCCCGTGGTGATGAAGACACCGCAAGTCTCTGTGATTACACTTGCAGATGGACGGTGGGTGCTGATGGCGGAAAAGGAGCCTCCGGAATTGTGGCTCTGTTTGATATCTCCATTAGCTTCAATTTTCTTCTGTCTGAAAGCTCGGGCTGGTTGAGCACACGGAGAAGAAAACTAAACCCGAAGCCCAGCCCCACGAACTCCCTTCGGCCTCTCAGCTCAGAAATTCACTAACACTTTTCAGATGCCAGTTGAATCTAGGAAAGTTAAAAAAAAAAAAAAAAAAGTTTTCTAGGTGGTGAAGTCGAACGGGTCCTTTTTCCTCTCCCTCCTTCTCCGAATTGATCTTGTTAAAATCTAAAACGGCAGTTTTGTTGGCAGAGCTGGCAGGGGATTGCCCTTAACTTTTGGGTTGATAAAGTACACTTTGCGCCCGAGTTGGAGGGAAGAGTTGGAGTTTGTTAGTGTTCTTCCCACCCTCAGCCGGCCTCTTAGGAAGAGAAAAATGAAGCTACCCAGCCCTGCCTGCCGGGAGAGCGTTCTCTCGGAGCCCCAAGGCCAGTCCTGGATTCGAAGACAGGGAGTAGGGCTGCGGGGCGAACCCAGCGGGGTGGCGGGCTGGGGCAAAACCCACCCCGGCCTCAGTAGTCCGGGAGCGGGGAGTGGGCGGGGTTGGGGGAGGGGAGGAGGAGGAGGAGACCCCACCCCAAAGAGCGTTGGCACCTGCTCCTGGGGCTGCGAGTCTGGAGAGGCGGCGGCAGCCGGGATCCGGAGCCCCGCAGAGCCAAGCTGCTTGCTGTCCACCTGCCTAGTTTTAAAGAAAGCCAGGGACTAGGTCCGCCAACCTTGATCGCCCCCTTTCACTCCCACAGATCCGGACTGTTGGAGTTTGGTGGCCTCAAGAGCACAATACACTTCTGTCCTTCTCCCTCCCTGCCCTCTCTGGTCCCCGGCCCCCTCGCGAGAGGAGTTTGGGCTGGAGTGGGTGCCCGGGCCTCTGTTCCGGCCGTGAGGTAACTGTCGCCGGGCCTGGGTGCCCGGACTATAGCCCCTATTAGGGCACTTCCCTTCCCCCGAATTCGGGGCCCACCACAGAACCTTCTCTGTTCTGTTTTCGCGGCTATTAACACTGCGGAGACTGATGGGAGAAATAATTTGACTCTTGGGGAAAATGAAATACGAAAAGTGAAGGGGAATTTGAGGATTCGAACCCGCAAAGATCAGAGGGCTTCTTTTTTGGGAGGGAGGGGCGGGGAACCAAGAGCAGGGCTCTCGCAAGAACACAGCTTATTCTCTAAAAGAAGGTGGCACTTGTTAGCCTGATAACGATGATGCATTTCTCACCGGCTTTCGGTTCCTGTCTCGTGATATTTCTCCTTCAAAGCCCTCTAGCCTCCGTTTTAAGATGTGTAGATCTGCAGTCGCATTTGCTTTTTGCAGTGAGTTTCCAAAAGTACGGTTTTCCTCTTCTAAAGTTGTCACCCCACAAAAGAAAAACTGGCGTGAGGTCCTTTTGTTCAGGTCAAGTTGTGCGTGAAATCTTTTTGTTGTCCTTTCAAAGCAAAGGCAAAAGTTGCAGTTGATTGTAAAAGGGACAAATTTAACTTTCTGAAAGTGGAGCTATTTTCAAGTTGTTCTGAGACACTAAGCACGGCGTCACTTTTTATTCTTTTTATTTATTACCTTCTTAAAACGCTCATTTATTTGCTCTAGACATAACCATTTTTGTTTGAGGATTCAGGATTGTTTAGGCACGAATACAAATACCTAGCATTTCTCCTCTCTATGAAACTGGGAGAATTTAAAAATCTTTTTGTATAATTTCAATTGTCTATCCAGCATGGAATTTTAAAAAAAGTACAGAGTATTTTTTTTTTAAAAAAGAGTTGGCCAGATTTTAAACTTGAGAAACATTATTTCCCATTTCAATAGATAATATTTCCATTTGAAAACTAACAAAACCAACCGAGAGGTTTAAAATATTTATGCGAGTCAGACCATTTCTTTAAAAAAATAAATTACGTGATATATTTTTTAGATTCCTCGGGTGTCAGCTTCCAAAAATATTAAATAACCAGGTAAGTCGGAGTTTATCTTTCAAGGCAACACGATCAAAATAGAGAACATTCGGATAATTTTAGGAGCATTTTATCTTTGGAAAATCGGCTCGATGCCACTTTCTAGGAATTTGGAATTGTTTTGCTTCCAAACCGGTAAGAAAAAGCAACTCCGGCCGACCGCAGTGTTCAGAGGCGGCCGTGGTCGTTCGAGGAGCGGGACGCGGTCCCCGCGGGCCCCTCGCAGCAGCGCGGGGGCCGGGCCGGGCGCTCACAGGTGGTTGCGCTGCTGCTCAAGAGCGGGGCTCCGAGGGCGTCCCGCCGCCCGGGTTGAGAGAGTGGCGCCGGCGGCGCTCCTGCCTCGGGAGAGACTCGGGAGACCTGTTGGCCTCGAGGAAGCGGGGTGGGCGGGCCGGCCGGCGCGGCGCAGGGCCCGGCGTCG